AAAAAAAAAAAAAAAAAAAAAAGACTCGTAACAAAAATGACGTTTATATCTCAATTTCAATTTTGCTGCTACATCAAAGATGTACGCCCATGTAGAGTAATAAGCGATAGCGTATCGTGAATATTATTTATCAAAGGACGAAAGAAAAATTATTTTAAAAAATTTAAAAAAAAATTGAAGAAAGAATTGTCGAAGGATTCCTTCTTCTATTATTAGATTGGATATGGATTTTTGTATCTTCCTCTTAGTTATAAAATACAGCCTCTTTTTTGTAATTATGCACGTTAGTATCTGCCCACGATAGAATTACGTTTCGCGTGTTAACAAGAGCTTCTCCTGATTACAAACTGTTTACAAAACGCGATAGCACGACACGTGATTTATAGAATCGCATTGCACACCTAGCGCAAGTGCCGATGCAGATATCTTCACTTTAGGCTAGATACAACCCGTCTTCGAGACGAGTGATATCATTGCAGTTGCATATTTTGCGTTTAATTTATCGATCATCGAAGCAGTTAAATGAGATACGAAACGATGATCGAAGGATTCGAAGAATTCTCAAGGTTTTTACGATTTATTGCGAGAACGAACTTTGTACTTGGGACAAGTAGCCGTCTTTGAACAATGTCTCGAAGAAATAGTTGGTCGAAACGCAGTCAAGGTTTTCTATTATTATATCATGTTTTTACTCGTGTCTATTTTTTTCTTTTTTTCTTTTTTTTACGTTCATCATTATCAATCTGACTCATCGATCACGTTTTCGAGCTTGATTTTTTTCGACTTTGACTTTTCTCCCCTCGAGTCGATATATATCATAAAAGTATCAATCATCGTGTCACTTTAGAGGCGCATAAAAAAAATATACGAAAGCGTATACGTGACGAATGTAGAAGAATGCGAATGGAATTATAAACAGCTCGGAAGAAATCGCTTATCGTGGCCAGATAAATCGCGATCAAAATATCAAACATTGTACGAAAAGTAACGCGATATCCTCTCTTATCGATACCTCCCAACACGACAAATAAGTTACAACGGAAATATTTATTTTACAAATAAATTCTCCTTGATCTAACTACTATCCAAGTCGAGACGCATTTCTACTTCAAACGCACACACCGATGATTGGAACGCGTGTCGATCCCAGGTCTCGATACAAACCGCGCCTCGTATCGATTCGATCGAACGACCTGTCTCGCGAAACGTTTCTATCCAAACGAGTCTCGATATCGGTTTATTGTCCCTCTCCTTCCCTCCACCCTCGACCACCACACCACGCCACGGTTAATAATCGCGAGCGGCGGAACCGCGCTTCTCCTCTCCTTTTCCTCCTCCCACGCTCCTCCACGCTTTTCTTCTCACTTTAATTATAATCAACCGATCCTTCGATTACTCAACAAACTATCGTAAACGATTACGCGAATCTTTCATCGATCACCGAAAAAAAAAAAAAAAAAAAAATAAAGGAATTCCTCCTCGTCTAGATCCACGACTAATTGGAGAGGTTTTTCAGGATCTACGCGGTTGGTGAATATTTTTCAGTGTGCATTAATTATTATCCTATTGTTTTCTGTTCATTTTTCCTTTCCTTCTTTTTTTTTTTCTCTCTTTCTCTTTTTCTTCTTTTTTTTCAAACGTATGCGCATTCGATTACACGTCATCTCACCGTTTCCTCTCTTAATTAATTCGCCGGTCTGGCAACGACCTCGTAATTCCATTCCGCGAGCGTGTCTGATGTAACGTGGTTCTGCCACGATAAGAAGCCTTTTATTTCCTCGTCGTGGGCTTAGGGAACAGCGCGGAAAATCACGATCCGTGATCCGTGACGTCGAAAGTTTTACATTTGCGAAACATCGAGACCTTGTATCGAATTAATTACGTATAATTTTGTTTCTGCTTCGTATCATTCTATTTCGTTCCACCACATCATCATCCTGGTGAAATGGCTTTGAATTTGATCGACATTAATTAACGCCTTAACGTGTTGAATTAGGATCGGTTGAGATTAAGTCTAGATGATCGATCGTTGCGTGTGCTTTCCTGCTATTTAATATAATTTATTTATTTTTTATTATTATTCTTATTATTATTATTTCATGGAAGACGGAAGATAAAGAGTTCTCTTGAAATTGGAAATTTTATCTCGAACGATAATCGAGAAAAAAATCGACATTCGTAGATTAATCTTTATTTCCCCGATCGTTTCACCGTGGCTAATAATCGGAGAGTGTGTGCGCGCGCCTCATACCCTCTTCTCCATGACACCATTATCAACGATGCTTCACAAAGGATGTCCGCGATAAGCGACAACGTCATCGACCGCTTGTCGTGCACTCGAAACTCTTATTCACTGCGATTTCCATAATTTCTCCGCAAAGGAGACTCATCGACCGAGATATCCAATTTTAATATATCCCAAGAGTCAACGAACTGTTTTCATTGGAACATAGTCGCGAGTATCAAGCCCGATAATCGAGTGTCACGAGGATAATGATCGAACGTTTGCTCTCCCGTTCCAGGCACATACCAAAGGCGAAAGCCACCACAATGGCGGAGACGCCGGAACTGAAACGTATCGCGGAGAACACGAAGATTCAAAGCAACGTGAAATATCACGCCGAATTCGAGAAGGCGAAAGGCAAGTTCACCCAGGTTGCGGATGATCCAGAGACTCTGAGAATCAAGCAGAACAGCAAAATTATCTCCAACGTAGCCTATCACGGTGAACTTCAAAAGAAGGCCATCATGGAGCAGAAAAGGACGATGACTGGTGAAAATGGCGAACAGATCGGTGAGTCGAGGGTTGTCCTTTCCTTTATCCGCGTCCTCTTTGTTCCACCATCGTCTTAAGTGTTTGCATTCGCTGAATTTGGTGAATGGAAGCTCTTAAATTGTTTCTAACATCATAATGATTACTAATGCTCGTATTGTTTGTGAAATTATTCGAGGTAAACTACTGGTAAACGTGATAACACGGACGAAAGTTTGAAACTTTGAAACTTCGAATCTTCTAACGTATTTACATAATCATTCATAAATATCGAGACATTTATGAAAAAAAAAGAAATGAAAATTAAGATAAAAATTTTTCTTCCATCCATCCATATTATTATCATTATATTTTTTTTATCGATAAAGCCAATAAACGTCTCGATATTTACTAACAGATATCGTTCTTGATATAACAACGTTTAACAAAAAAAAAAAATAATGTTCTACTAATCAATAATTTATTTACGTACTGTCACGAACAATTGTATTCTGTTAATATTTTAAACATTTCCTAAATCAACGCTATCTTTCCCATTTCCCTATATTCAAGTTCGATCGATAGATATCGGTGCTAAATATCCTCATAGACGTGAGAAGTAAAAGCTTTCCTCGAATCTCGCCATTTCCTTCAGAACACCTCTTAATTCCCCGCGAGAGGATTAGTCATGATTAGTTGGTGTTGAAAAGCATTGTCGAAAAGCATACCGGCAGCTTGTATATTGTTGGCTCTAGAGTACGTAGAGTACACGGACGGTACGATCGCGCCTGCATCAGGCGTGAACGCGAATCCACCGACCGCTAGAACTGCGAGCTCGCCGGTGCAAAGGACACCAGGTAGGATCGCCGATTACGATCCCCTTAGCGAGGCAAGACCGAGCCCCTATTCCGCCAGGCAAGCGGCCACCACTGTGATCTATACGAGCGACAAGGGACCAGGTAAGTTCTCCTACGTATTACGGAGTAGATTCCTTCCTATTTTCAATTTTCTTTTCTTCCAATTTAACCATTAGCACTTATCGACGAAATTTTATAATTTTTCTTTCTTTCTTTCTTTCTTTCGATTCATTTAAATTTTAAAACGGCGCGCAGAGCGATCCATTTAGATTTGACCTGACCGAATCTCGTGTACGAAAGTGGTGCAGGAGTGGGGATAAGACTCGTGACACGGTAGTGGGGGGAATGGCCTTGAGCGGTCAAGTGACTTCAGACCAGACTCGATGGATAGTCGTAAATTACGCAATCGAGGAGAAATTAACCGATCGAAATAAATGGATCACCCTGTATCACTCTTCGCTCTATTTCTTTCCGCTATTCTGACAGTGAACCGATACTTAAATGCAATTGGAATATACCCTCGCCGCCTTGTTTCGCGTACCATATGGGTTGGCCATTCGTTGCGCAACCGGTAATAGTTAGTTTCAATAGATCGCCATTTAATTGGATTAGTTGGAACGATAGATAAATACGATTCGGTCACTCCTATTGTAAACGTCAACCATTATCTTTTCGAGGGACGTCACGACGAATTTATGATCGTTCCATCCTGGAAACAAACCCGCTTCTTGAACGTTTAACGCCGAATTGACTATCGTATTTTTGTGTCACGTTTGTAATCGAGAAATATGTTGTGATTAATGGTGACTGGTCAAACGATTTTTAAATTTTTTTTTTTCCTTTTTAATTGTGCAAGCGATTCATTTATTTTTATTGTTATGTATAGTATTCCATCGATTTCACCGATTCATTCCGAAAAGCTTCCCAATTATTTGTGCACCATGTTATGTATGTTGTACGTGGTTTAAACGTTCATTTGAACATTGTGTTCGACACAATTCACTAACATTGTGGTTTCAAGAAATTATTCTACTCTTCTCTTAACGCTCTTAATTTAAATTTCGTTTTAAGTAAAATCGATGAATCTTTTTAGTAACGAATCCACCGACCAGAAAGATTGGTTCGGTAGCGGATATAGACCCCGTGAACGAATATTACGGATCATTGACGCCAGCAACGAACAACAATCACGTACCACAACATCAACCACCTCCACCACCACCTACCAACGTTGGGGTAAGTTCTACCTTTAAAAAAAAATTTAACCAACTTTAATCATCGTTCCTTTTTTATTTTTACTTATTATATTTATTTTATTTTTATTTAATAATAATTCTTCTTCTTCCAGAGAGTGTACAGAGCGATGTACGATTACGAGGCCCAGGATCTCGACGAAGTAAGCTTCTGCGACGGCGATCTGATCGTCAACTGTACGGCTATCGATGAAGGTTGGATGACGGGTCTCGTGCAGCGTACAGGACGACAGGGCATGCTACCAGCGAACTACGTTGAACCGGCGCAGATTTAAACGCCACTTCCTCCTCTTCCCAATCCTCATCGCCTTTGTTTCTAACCAGATCTAACTCGATCGAGGAAACGGTCTGCACGAGGAAGATGACGAGGAAAGGAGAAACCGCGACGAGCTTCGAGAGGAGCACTCGACGACTTCCGGAAAAGGGAGAAACGCCGAGCGAGACTCTTTCCTGTCGGCCGAATTCGCGGCAAACCGAAATTCCTCGCCAGAGGAATCGAGGTGAAATCGAACGATGAAAACGAGCCGATTTCTCGCGACGATACCGCGACGATTATCGTGTATATCTAAAAATAAGTTATGGAATCAAAGATTCTTTGTTACGTCGATCAAAGTGATTCCTTTCGTACGTCGTGTAAGATGTTATCTGATAAAAATCGTCGATCTTCCTTTTCGTACGATTTGACGAACGAAAGACTCGATTGAATATTTTTTTTTTTTTTTTTTTTTTTTTTTTTTTTTTTTTTTTTTTTTCTCTCTTTCTCGAACGTTGAGAAGACGAAGATGAAATCGTGACGATACAATATGTCCTTTCCGAGTGCCTGCAATCGTTTCGCATTTAAAGTCGATAAATTAAAGATAATTCCACGTTTGGGACCAAATTTTGATCGCCACTTTTGCGAACTTCACGATAGGTGTTTTTTTTTCCGCTCATAATAGCAATTTTATCCGTGATCCAATTTTTTCCACACTGGCCGACACTGTGTTTCGTGTTCGTCCAACAGTTTTAGCATTTTTTTTTTTTTTTTCGAAATCATTCCGTTGCTGTACGAGGATTCCACGGTAATGATGACTTGATGATTACGCGGTGAAAAAGACTGGAAGACTCGATGTTCCTCGTTTTTTATGTACTTTATTCGAAACAAGTCGTTGCATGCGTTTTCATTTTTTTTTCTTTTTTTTTTTTTTTTTTTTTTCTCCCCCTCTTGCTTTTGTAACGGTATATTGTAACACTTTTGTTTTATATCACGTGAACGCTTTGCATTTACACGCGAGATGAACGGTTTTCTTTTTTATGTAAAAATGTTCTTCTGGTCTTTGAGATTGTAACAAAGGTTCATCTTCAAGCGTCATCGTTTTTTATCTTTTTCATTAAAAATGTTGTTCTAACGAATTATATATAAATTGAATATTTATTTACGAAAAGATTAAATGATAGTTGCAATAATATGTTAAAAGACTTACCTTAGACTTGGACATCAAGCCATTCTTGCGTTATTACGTGTTGTGATCCGAGAAGGAACAACGATGTGCCTTATATACGTAGAGGACAATCTTTCTATGAGGTTTTTTATCGCGATTTAGAAAAAAATCTAAATTATGTAAAAAGAAAGAAAAAAGAAAAAGGAGAAAGATATATTTGTAATTGTATACACGATCAATGTTATGTATCATCAAGAGAAACATAGAAGAAAAACTTCACATCGCGAAAGTGAATCTAGTTAGGACTATAAAATGATGAAGAAATATAATGTAATTGTTGATAGGAAAGTTTCGTTACACTTGCCTTGCTCGATCCGATGCGTTTCGAAGGAAAGCAACGATCGTTGGAAACATTTATTACCGTTTCTCTTTGTCCAATTAACGACATTAACCGACATTTACCTGGGATAGTTGTTAAGTTTTATCATGCAAGATATGCCTGTACTAAAATATGCTTCTTTCTCGGCTTTCTACGATCCTTTCAGTGCTGTATCAATAATTCATTTGGACGTAAAATGATGAGAATATCAATTGGAAACTTCACATTGGTTATCACGTATTAGATACAATGAGAACAATTTTTTAATTTTTTAATTTTATTGATTCGTAAGGTAAAGGGGAATAAATTTTAATGTCGTAACGAAACGTACATTTTTCAATTGTACATAATGTAACAAAGTATTATATATATTATATATATATATATTTAGCTAGTATATATTAATTGTAAGTTGTTACAAATTTCATTTATATTTACAGAAATGTTGAATGCTGTTTGAGATTGTAACAATTTTTATAGGGATCGTCTCGAGAAGACGATTTCCAATTTTTTTAAGCAACTTATCCTTTTAATTAACATGTACAGTTGAATAAAATGCGTTTCATAATTTCTGCTTAGATTAAGAAGGAGAGATATAATATGAACAACAGTACTGAAAGGATTAAATCGCTTTTTACGAACATTAAATAGCGTCTTGCCGAAATCTAAAACTAAATCGTTCTCCACGATGGTTTCGATTTTACAAATAGCTTTATATCTTCCTGACGTTCGGTTAATGTACAGATAATATAGCGAGAAAATTCGATGTACAGGGTGATTCATAACATATTGTTATAAACTTAAATAAAATAAGAATTACATATTTCATTTTATTTACTAATGAAACAATTATTTTATATTTGAAATATATTTTAAATAAAATCGTATAATAAATAAGATATAATAATTTTAATTTAATTGTATAAGTGAGATGTAAAAAAATTTTTTGTTTTAAAATACATTAAATTAATATCGTCGAAGGATAAGAAATCAATGATTTTTGGTATATCAACAAAAGAATCACCTTGTATAACGGAAACATCTCATTACCGTTACGGGGAATAACCACGCCCCATTTCCCTTCTCTTCTCTATTTCATCCCTTTCCTTTTATCACAATTCCAAATTTTCTCTCTTCCGTTGAAATTTGATTCCTCGGATACAAACTATATCTATTATATTGTATTTACCTGAGTAGGAGAATAGAAGGAATTTATACGCTATACATGTAAAAGAAATAAATAGAAATAATATTGTTATGTACACGTGCGTGATCGGGCGTGTGCGATGTCGTTTGACTTTTCGTGATAAACCGCGAGGAGATATATTCATATTTTTGGAAATATGTTAGCATTATTATTAATATAATAATAATAATTATAGAATAATAATTATTATTATTTCCCCTTTTGTAATTATTAGAACACCGATAAGTCGAATTATCTAAGATTTATAATTGAGAAATCATACAGAAATATACATATATGGTAGCGTTGTTTAAAACAAATATTATTATATTATGATATGAGATTATAAAAAATGAATATGTTATGTAAATTGTGCCTATGATTTTTGCTTTATCCTCTCTTTCTTTATAAAAAATCCTTTCACTTTTCTTTTACGTAAAAATTTAAAATACTTTCAAATAAATTTTCCTCTACGAAACGTTTGTTTGATCATTTTTGTACGAGCAAAAAAACGAAAAAGTGAATATTATAAAGAAAATTAAAATTAATGCGAAGAATTGGATTAACTGATAATTAAATTTTAAACTAATCGTATAATTCTATTTTATTATATTATGTATTTATTATATTACGTAAGTAAAAAATATTTCATATTTGAAAAATTTGAAAATACGTGATTAGAAATGATAAATCATTTTTTTGTTAACATATATCATTTTATTATAATATATATATTATATCAAAAATAAAATTATATTTTTAATTTTTAGAATTTGATGTTTTTTAAAATATTATTTCAACGTATAACTTCTTAAAAAATCATTTATATGAAATAATTACAAATAAAAGAATCAAGTAAAATTATAAAAATATAATAAATTATAAATGTAATTTGGAAATTAATATATTGTTTGTAATCTGTTAAAATTGTTGCCTTTTATTCGATAAGTGCACGTCATGCGTGCAATAGACAAAGAAAGTAAATAAAGAGAAAAAGATAGAGATAGGATAAAAATTGTGAAATCAGCGCCATCTTCAGAGTGCCGCAAATGAAATTAATATAAACAAAGAGAGAAAATAGTGGAACAAGGATGGAGATAGGACAAAATATTGAAATCAGCGCCATCTTCAGAGTGCCTCAAACGAAACACAGAAAAAAAGGATAGAAAATAATAAGAGAAGGATAGAAATAGAGTAGGAATTAACTACTAGTGCCATCTCTCGAGTTTTTGTCAAAGATAGAGTAAGAATTGAAAACTAGCGCCATCTCTCGAGTTTTTGTCAAAGATAGGGTAAGAATTGAAAACGAACGCCATCTGTTAAACGTTTTGTCTACTAATTTTTTCTATTTTTAAGGGATATTTCTTCGAACATTCGAGAGATGGCGCTGATAGTCAATTCTTATCATCTATCCTTTTCTTTTAATAAAACCATCCTTGTTCCACTATTTTCTCTCCTTGTTTATATTAGTTTTATTTGCGGCATTCTGAAGATGGCGCTGATTTCAATATTATGTCCTATCTCCATCCTTGTTCCACTATTTTCTCTCCTTGTTTATATTAATTTCACTTGCGGCAATCTGAAGATGGCGCTGATTTCAATTTTCATTCTATCTTTATCTTTCTTTCATTATTTTCTCTTTTTATCTACTTTATATCTATTATATATATATTTATCTACTTTATGTACTCTGTAAAATTTATAGATTCGAAAAAATTATCTGATTAATTTTATTATCTCTTTTTTCTATTAATTAAAAATCTTAATCGAATCTATTCGAATGAAAATAATAAATTTTAATTTTTTGAATAATAATAAATGTTGAAGTGAGATTTTTATATAAGATGCATTGAATTGATATCAATCGTGAGTAATATCTTAAATATTTGCGTGGTATCCCTATTACGTGGCATATAACTTGTTTCTCGGTCATTGGCTTGTTACGAAACCATGCAATTTAATTAATAGTTTTGACAAATTTTAAATTGTAAAAATATTATATATTTTGCTGCTTCCGATTTTATAAATGCATATTAAAAAAATCACGATGCATAAAAATATTTCTAATTCAAACATATGCAAATACATGTTATATTCGTATCATATAATTTTATTTATTTCATTTGTAATACATTTACATTTTAAATTTTCAAACGAAAGATTATTAACTCTTTTTATTAAAGATATATTATAATACGATTATTTCAAATATGATATTTAAATTTAAATATTCAATATTTATTTCTTCTCTTGACTTTTAGCACGTAAACCTATTAGTTTACGAATAACTTTGAAATAATTTAAAATCCAATATTTGATTTTTAAAACAAACAAGATATCAAAATCATTATTAAAACTATATCTTTATTTTCCATTCTCTATTATTCTCTTCATCGGAAAGAAGCAAAAGAACAAAAACCACTTTTTCAAATTGGACCTGACCTATATTCTATTTTTATTCCATTCTCTCGACTTTTTCGATCATAATTTCACAAGATTCACAATTCCCTAAAGCTAATAAAGGATAGGTATACACCTTTCCGTTCTGTGCAATAAAATTTGTATTCCGATATCTCGTCTTCGATATCTCAATTTTGTTCCCGATATATCGATATCGAACCAGACTCGATATCAATAATCTCATTCGTATCTCAAACTCACGAAACATGTGTATCTCTTTCATAAGAAAAAAAAGAAGAAGAAGAACAAGAAACACGTTGGAACGACAACCTTATTTACATAAAAATTTCATAAGCAAAAAAAAAAAAAAAAAAATCTAAAAACATATTTCACATTATCCCTATCACCATATCGATGATTCTACCCATATATCAAACCCGTTACAACAGAAATCGTACGCGTCTCTTTACTCCGATATTTTATCAACACAATTTAACAAACGAACAGTCGTAATTTTTTAATCCACGACGAGAGGAATCGAAGGGAGGAAGATTAGCTCGATATCGAGCTTCCCTCGAAAACAAACTCTCACCTCGAAGTGG